TAGATAATGCCCACTTAGGAAGTACCAATCCTAGCTTAGAAAAGTTTTTGCTTATTCTAATGCAATGCTATGGAAGTCCTTTGTACTACATTTTACTGACTGCATTTTTTATCCTTTTTTCTTCATAGGTCATGTTTGCTTTGAGGATGAATTGTGCTTTCTCAGATCTCTATGGGACCAATGGACACATCAAACTGGACTTGATGTAATTCCTGTTGTGTTTTAAAGACTTTTTGTAAAGAACTATTTTATTGTGTATATATATTTTTATATTGATAATATATACATATATGTATATCCCTATGGGAATTTTTATGCAACCCGTTTTGGCGAGGTCTGTATTTATGTAGTACTTTAAAGGGGTCATATGATGTTGCTAAAAAGAACATTATTTTGTGTATTTGGTGTAATGAAATGTGTTTATGTGGTTTAAGGTTAAAAAAACACATTATTTTCCACATACTGTACATTATTGTTTCTCCTCTATGCCCCGCCTTTCTGAAACGCGTCAATTTTGGGCGGGCTAGAGTGAGCGGAGGCTGGCGGCTAGAGTGAGAGGAGGCCGGCGGGCTTGAGAACGGCGCGGCCGGTGGATTCGACGCAGGAGCGTCCGGAGGGCTTGCGGCAACCACATGTGTTACAGATCTTCTTTATGCACCAAGAGCTTGTAACACTCCAAAGAGAAAGGAAAAATTGACATTGCATCATATGACCCCTTTAATCTTGTTTGACTTGTTTGTCAGACAAAAGTGTCTTAATATTTTTTTAACCTGAAATCTTGGTCAGTAACCAAGACTAATAGCACAATATTGTCATGTATAAAATCTCAATCTGGTGTTCAAATGACAATCTGGGATATTTTTCTACAGGTAACTTTACACACAGACCTAAGCTACCTATTCAAAGTGTTGCAAACCATTATCACCAATATGACTTTTCTGTTACAGTAGGTTACTTTTACATAACTTTAACATTTTTAATGTTCTATTTAAGTAATGCATCTGTAAGTACACTCACCATTGGCCAGAGAGTATGTGTGTGGAGCTTTATGTGTATGAGTGTTATGGGGTGTGAAAAGTTGCAAGATTCTCAGGATGGACTTGTTGTCCAGTTGAAAAAAAATCACCAGTCCAATCACAGCACAATGAACTAATAAAAGAGGTACTGATATTTTAAATGCTCACAAAATGTTCTTATTCTTTCTTTTTTTATTTTGAATGAACTATTTCAAATGTTGAATTATCACATCTAATGCAGTATGTCTATTGTTTACAGTTAAAATTCAGATATATTTTTTCCTTTGTGATTTTCGTCAAACGAATGCCATAAGCAATTTTGTTTTGTTTTGTTGCGTTATGTCTGTTTGTCCCCTGCAACAGTGGCATATATAAATAATTTTCACTATTCAATAAATTTCCAATGGATAATGTACTTTTTTCTTATTGAATAGTCACATAAGTGAAATATAGTGTAACACTGTTTCATGTTAAGTTGAACTTATATTTTAATATTTTAGAAATTTCCTCTCCCTCTTTGGATTAAAAAAAAAAAAAATTTCTACATCAAAAATCTTTAGTTCCATTGAATTAAATATTTATTAGCCTATATTAGAGAAAAAGAACACAAGCTACATTTTTTTATAATCTTTTCCTGAATGTTTAAATGATGTTTGGTTAATCGTTTTGTCAACTGAGGATAAAACTTTTAAAAATTAAAACCTAAAATGGCATAAACTAATTTTGAAGCTGTAACTTAGTGCAGTGTCATGTTATGAAGTGGATACATATGACATGACATGACGCCACACACAACTACTCAATGTTCTCTTTTGTTCCTTGAATTATAGACTTCTGAAATGTTTGGACAATTAATGCTGCAGATAAATGGGTCAGGATTTTGCATGTAAAAAACAAACTACATTGTGCTTTATCTGGCATCCATAGGGATTATGTCTGACTCAGTTTTAATTATAGTTTATTCATTACTTTCGGCCCTGAATTAAGAGAAATTATTATTTGTTTCCATTCAGAGATGATTAAACATCTTTAAATATAAAGATACCAGTTACTAGGAGTCTGGTCTTATAATATTCTAAAAGGCAAATACAGTGATTATATTATATTTCTAAATTTAAGTGTTTAAACAATGTTGATATTGCACAAACTTTTCCCTGTATGTTTAAATGATAAACTAATATTAACATAATTTAACATTTTGACTGATTTAGGTTAATTAAATTTGAGAATTGGTGAGTTTTGATATGCCAGTCTCAAATATCATTAATCCCCAAAGAAATTAAAATAAAAAGCCTAATACCTTCTCCAAAAGAATATTAGATGTCATGTTATTAACAAAGCCAGATATTAAACATTTGACCATACTGGGACCTCGCACTGTACAAGAGGATTATGTGCTGTACAATTATGGATAACTAATCATAATAATTGTTATAAATAATATACAAAAATATTTAACACTAACGTGGTGTATTTTGAGTGACTGAGTATTTGATGCGCTTGAGATCAACATAATGAGACAGCGCCTCCTGTTGGACACATAGGGTCTTTCGTTTTTATGTACCTGCCAGGTGTAAAAGACATTATCTATCTATCTATCTATCTAGTGCTCAGTCAAAGCAACATCGGCGATTAATGGAGTTCAGCTCGCGCTCGGAAGTGCCTAATTACGTCCAACTATGTGTTTTTACCCAGATGAATAAATCAAGGGGGCACATTCAAAATATAGCTTAGTGAAAGCTTCCTGAGCAAACAGCGCAGGAAGTGTTTTGCAGGATTGACATGGCTCCGTGGTGACAACTGGCCCGTTTTTACACCTTCCGTCTAAATAAGGAAGCGGTCCGTCGGGCATATGACCGCCGGTCCAATTTGGGAGCTGCCAACGAAGCCCATCATTACGCCCCATGTTCTCTCGCGCTCGCTCTCCCCGGGGCCGCTCGCTTGGATTGACAGCGATTGGGTTTTGGCGTTCAAACTGACCCCCGGCGGCGGTGAGGTCAGCGTGATGTCATCCTGAAGGTGAGTGATGTCATCCCGAAGATCTCCCAGGCAAGGTGAGCTTGCATTTTGGTGAGTGTGTGGTGCTCCCCATCCAGAGAGGTGAAACATGGTAATCATCATCGCCGCCACCGCCACCAGCTCAAGCTCTGCCGCCCTGCTCTTCTCATCTGCCGAGGGGCTTATTGCGTTACACGCTCGCAGCCCCGACCTGCCTTCCAAAAATAAGCCCCTGCCACCATGCCGAAAGAAGAAAAACAAGAGTGGTATTTTTAGTGGCATTAATTTTGACCACGTGCCCCGAGGGTAAACCGGATGGCCACTGCGCATATATATATATATATATATATATATATATACACACACACTGTAGGATATATAATTATTTTTAATTTAACTTTAATTATGCTAAATTAATATATATTTTAATTGTATTATTATTAGGCCCCTATTACTATTATGCATGTGCATGTTGCATGTGTCCTAAAGCAATGACATATCTATTAAAATAAACCCTAGTGTCAATCACTGCCGAATTTCCCAAGGCTCAAACATGACACGAATGCTTGGACGAATTTAGACACCAACTAATTTTACACAGCGTCCATCTGCTTGTCGTACATGCCAGAACTGCAGGGCTTTTTTTCCATGTCACAGTATAAGAAATGAGCCAGCATGAGAGAAAATGCAGAACAAAGGCTCTGTGCATCTCCTGGATCCACCCACTTGTGCAGAACGCATCCTGCAGATTGAGTAAATGAGATGCTGTGTGCCACATTGTCATGTATGTAACTGATGTTCTGTTCAATCAGGTCTAATAGAAATCTCAGCGGTAGAGAGAGGAGTGATTAGTCTATACGGCGTGAAAAGCAAGCTGTTTGTCGCAATGAGCAGCCGCGGAATGTTATACGGAACGGTAGGTATGCCTGTCGTTTTATTTCATTGTATTGTGCAGAAAACGCCACTTCAGTCTTGCAGTGTAAAATGGGTCAGTGACAAATAAGGATTCATCTGGTTTTAGATTATAAAAATGCCAAGTTCTTAGAATGTAGGCTAGTCTTATTATGTCTTAAGATGGTTTCATAAAAAAGTTTTTGTATGTATCTATTTATTTAATGGCTATAAAATGTCAAGTGGTGTAACATTAAGATAAAGTAAGGCCTACTTTGATATTTTCTAGGCCTATGTAATTTGAATGTGAATGTAGCCTATAGGCCTACAATCAAAAACAGTTTTCAACAAACATCATAAATATCAAGACATTTTCTTACTTCGTTTGACCTGAACAAAATGTGCCTTTCCTTAAAGGTCACAACACCATCCGACATTTTTGACTCACAAAATATCATATTATCAACATTGGGCCGAACGGTTCTCGTTGCGAAACCGTGCCGTTCCATGCCGATCTAGGACATTTGGCACAGTTCGCTTTCTTTTTTAACTGTAATGTGCTGGTGCTACGAAATCAGGATTAGAATGTACATAACCTTGAAGACTGGTGACTGAATGCCTAATAAACACTGGAGCGAGAGCGATAAGGAGAATGTTAGCCACAAAAAGTGTAAAAGTTCCCAAACTAGAATTTACTGACATAAAATTAGGGGAATAATAGCCTACAGTGAATTGATAAATGAATTTGAAGTTAGCTAGCGTAATGTGTCTCACTGACGAGAAAGACGTGTAGAAAACACTTTAGAAACCATTACCAAAACATCAAACCAACGGCTTGTAATCATATCGTGCCGAAACGTTTTCATATGGAAATGGAAGTAGAACCGTTCGACACGATGGTGTAATCTTTTGATTCAAGCTGAAATCAGAAGAATTTTAATGTACTAAAAAAAAAAGATTCTGACAGAAAAAAAAGTCAAGTCACCCAAATGCATATTTTTTTGCTGCCTTTGATTTATTTTGAAGTGCACACAAATATGAGCACCATGGTCTGGAATATGCCATTCTCTTTGGAAATGTCTTGATTCCTCAGCTTTACTTGATACATTCAGTACATTGACTTGTCATTCATTCTTATTAACTGTTGGCTCTTATGAGCTGTGATGCGGTGCATGGCTTGAATGCAAATTTGACCTACTTTGCACTTGGATTACTTAGATGCCAGATCTCACCATGAGTAACACATTAGCTCATTTGATGACATACACTCTTAAAGAGAAAGGTTCTTTAATGGCACTGATAGTTCCGTGGAACCTTTCCATTCCACAAACATTCCATTCTTTACAGTAAAAAAGGTTCCCTTTCAGTCGGTCACTCTCGACGTCACGTCGGTGACCGTCGAATTGGGATCTTGCTTAGAGAGACCAATCCACTTCGAGTGTAAACTAAACGAGCCAATGCACATTGGCATGTGATGATTGCATCCAGCTGCCGCTGATCACAGCGTG